GTAAAGTGAGGAGAATGGTTTTGGCTGGTTACACAGGGAGTCCTTATTGGACTAGCGATTCCAGGTCTGTGCAGCGCTAGCAGTGACAGGACCCTGATCTCAGTTATGGTCTCTTGGTGCTATTATATCAATAGTAAATATGAGTAATCTGTCAGGCCCCTGCATACCTTTTAGATGCAAGAGCCAATCTTTTTGTTGTTCTATATTTGCATTACAGCATAGTCTAAATCTCCGCTGAGACTGGGCCCTGTCATACACAGGCACTGCACAGGCACACAGTGACCACATATGGAGCCCAGTCTTGCTGGGAGCTGCACAGACACGCCGTGGCCGAGAGCAGGGCCCTGTTATGCCAGGCACGTCGCGGGCTGACACAGAGACCGAGTATGAGACCCAGTCGTGCTGGGCGCTGCACAGACATGCAGTGAGAGTCCCTGCCCTGAAGCACCTACAGTCTAACTAGACACACCAGGCACACACTAAAGTACAGATGACATACCAGCAAAATGCTAGGGCCCAGGGGACTCTGTGTTAACTGTTCTCAGTGGGAGCTGCTGCGTGCTTAGTGCTCTAGGAAATTTAACCACTGACTTAAGTGCCTGGAAAACCCGCCTTCAATTGTGGGTGCGGGACAGGCACCCGCAGTATAATAATAATACAGGCATCTTTACGCAATCTGCTTGTGCTCTCCATTATTACCAAGGAGTGGAGGCGCCTGTCCCTGTCTCCTCTAACTGAAACTCTAATTGCAACATGAATCATAAAGAAAATATAAAAATCACTGCTGACAAAATGTGTAGACGACACACGGGTAGGTGGGGGTGGTAGATAGTGGTGGGGACACAGAAAGACCCATGTTCCTTGGTAAGCTGGGCTCATTTGAACAATGTGCGTTGGAACCCAGCCAAATGCCTGGTCACACATGGTCACATGGGAACGAAGAATATGGGTCACACATCCAGGATGGGAACCTGTATCCTGGAAAGCAGAGACTCGAGAAAGGACGGGTGAAAACATCTGGCATAGGAGATCCCAGTGCAATGCTGTACTGAAAAGGCAAACTTGATCTTTGGCTATGTAAGCAGGGAAATATCGAGTACCTCTTTCTATGGCATTGCTGAGACCACTCCTGGATACTGGGCCCACACTTCAGAAGGGATGCTGAGAAATTGTTAAGGTTCAGAAAAGAGCTACAAGAATGATTCACGGTCTGGAAAACCCGTCGTCCATGAAGAGACTAACGGCGCTCCATGTATTCGGGTTACTCAGAGAAGGTTAAGAGCTGACGTGCTTCTGGTCTTTAAGCACCAACACGGGGAGGGGATTTCGGAGGGCAGAGGGCTCTTTAACCTCCAGGCAAAGGTAGAGGTCCAATAGCAGGGAGCTGAAGGGAGACTAATTCAGGGTAAGACTAAGGAGCCAGTGTTTACCAGGGAGGAGAATTAATGGTTGGAACAGCTCCATTAGGGACGGGGTGGATTTTCCATGTCAGTGGAGATGGGGCGTCTCTCTCAACGCTCCGCTCTAGCTCAGTCAGGAGTTACTGGGCCAGAGGCAGGAATCACTGGGGGAGATTCTCTCGCCTGGGTCAGGCAGGAGGCTGGACTGGGTGGGCACGATGGGCCCTGCTGGCCTTAAAATTTATGAATCTATAACGGTGGAGTTTCTTGCACCTTCTTCTGCAGTATCGAGTGCTGGGCATTGTCAGAGAGGAGAGACTGGGCTAGACACACCATGGTGCTGAGCCTGTCCAGTAATCCCCATGTGCTGTAGCTGGGCCAATTTATTTGCATCAAATAACTCGTTCACCCCGTGTTGCCAGCTCTGGCGATTTTTTTATTTATTTATTTTTTACTACGAGCTTTGTGATATTTAACTGTTCCCCCGCCCCCCCCTTAAAGCCCCAGCAACTGGGTCCATGTATTTATGGGAGAATCTCAGCTTTTATTTCCAGCCCTTGTAGTTTGGGGGGGTGGGGCCCTAAAGGTTCAAAAAGCAGAATGAAAAAAATGTAGTGATATAAAAATAATCCCATTTTTAAGATGCGCTGATATTTTGGGGGCCTGACTCGTCATTTTTTTAACTCTTTGGGTTGGCAAAATTGTGGGCTAACTTATTTACAGACAACAATTTGTTCTTTCCCATTTTTTCCTGTCCCGGTCTCTGCAAGTTGTTCCTTGTTCCAGCCGCCGCAAGCTGCGCGGGAACCATGCAGAGGGGCTGGTCAGTGCTACCTTGTGCAGGGCCTGGATTTGAAGCGCCATAATCTCTTCAGTGATCTTTAACCTCAGGGCCAGGCCAAAGCAGCCTCCAGCTCAGGGATCAAATGCTCATTGTAAGGCACTTGTTGTTAAGTGCACGATGATCTGCCCCCCGCCCCTCATCCCGTGTAGACAGAGACTCTCTATTTGCACTGATGGAGCCTGCTCAGAAGCAGAGTTAAACTGATACAAATCTTGGTGGTTTATGGAAACAATTTGTTCCCCGGTTTCCATGGGAGACTTGCACCAGGGCTGGAATTGCGGCTTAACCCCCAATGTAGCTAAAGCCTGAGTCACAGAGGAAAGGTTCTAACTACAGGTGTGGGCCCTGATCATGTGATCTGACCCTTACACCTGTGTGGACCCCCGCCTTGAAATAACTGGGGCCCAGTGCAGGGTGGAGCATCCCTCTGTATTAATCCATGTGCAGCTCTGACCGTCAATGGGATCTAATGGACTGGGACACAGGACGCCCGGGTTCATTCCCAGCTCTAAAACTGGCTTGCTGGGTGACCTTAGGCAAGTCACTTCCCTGCTCTGTGCCTAGTGTCTTGTCCTCCCTTTGTCTGTTTTGACTGTAAGCTCTTCTGGGCAGGAGCTGTGTGCGACTATAACGCAAATTACAATAATAATAATAAAGGATCAGGCTGCGTTGTAGGGGGGTGTAATGGTCTCTGCCGCCACAGCTCCCCCTTGAGGCGTGGGGTGGCCCTGCAGCCATAGTTTCTCTTTCCTCAGGAATTTCTCAGAGGCTTTCTCGTAACCAGTAACTCCCATATTGGGCTGGCTTATTATCATAAACGGCTACAAAATAAAGCCCTAAGAGTCTAAGTCGGAAGCTGATATATTTTGAGGTTTATATATCCATCCTTCCCGACTTTTCATGCATCCTTCCCGACTCTTCATCCAGCCACTCCCAGGCCTTCTGCCTGGAGTCCCCCTTACCGAGCTGGAGTCTTTTCTCTACTGGTGTCCCCTGCAGCAGCCTTCTCACTGCTTGCAGCCCCGCCAATCCCCCTCCCACGCCTTCCTGCCTTGACTCTCCCAGGCTTCTTCCTTATCTGCCCTAGAGGCCTGATTGGGTCACATGGCCTTTTCCATTCCTGCTCCCCCACCCTCCTGGAACAGTTGGGTGGGGCCGAGACCCATCTCCCTTTAAAGAGGCAGCCTCCCTGTGACGGTTGTTTCAAGGCCTGAGCTGGCACGGATTTATGGCGCACAATAAAAATGTGTCAACTTTGTCAGCTCCCCCCTGGGTGCCGGGTCTCCTGCGGGGACCAGTCTCGATCTGGGGTCCAGTGTCTCACCCATGCTAATGGCCGTCTCCTGTCTTCTTTTCCCATGCCCAAGCTTCCCGATGGCGCACTCGGCCGAGTTCTCGTGGATGGAGCGAGGGGAGGAGCTATGTGATGCCGACTCAGATGAGCGGGAGGAGCTGAGAGTTGTCCTGACAGGTGAGGAATTCTGGAAGAGAAACTGAAGTGGGAGCAGAACCGTAGGGAGTCGCCAGACTGGATCAGCACCCAGGTCTGTCCAGCCCAGTCTCCCGTCACCGACAGCGGCCTGCACCAGATGCTGCAGGGGAAGGTGGGAGAACCTGCAGTTGCAGATTGGGGCTAATCTGCCGCCATGGTAGATCCTGTCGTGGTCTGTAATAGTTAGAGATCGGCTCAAGCCGTTAGCATTAAGTAGCTCGGTATGTTCCTGTTATCCTCACAGACAGCCAGTCCTGCTCGGAGTCTTGCTAAGCTTTCGGCCTCCGCTACATCTGGTAGCAATGAGTTCCATGGGCTATTTATACACTGTGGGAAAAAGGTTTAGAATTTGCTGCCTTTCACTTTCATTGCATGACCCCTTTTTATTATTTACTCTTTGTACTGCAGTAGCTGCCAGCTTCTCCAGGGAGCCTACAAGCCCTGGGAGCCCTGGATCTGCACCTTTAAAATTCCCGACCAACCCTAGAGCTTCCTCCAAGCTCGGCTCCAGCTCAGCCAGGAGTTACTGGGCTGGCGGCAGGAATGGTTGCGGGAGATGCTTTGGTCTGGATTAGGCCGGAGGCCTGGCTCGATGGGCACAGTGGGCTGTTCTGGCCTTGACACCTATGACTCTCAGTGCAGGGCCCTCCCTCCCCATTAGATACTTCCTCCCCTGGGCGTGACTGACTTGTGTCTGGATTCCCTCTCTCTTTTCCTTCTGCCAGATGACGGGGCCCTGAGTGAGGACGAGGAGGCTGACGATGTGCAGGAGCCGGACGACGATGATGGGGAGCCAGAAGGGCCGTTCTCAGCCCGCTCCGAAGGGGACGATTCCTGCGGGAGCTCTGAGAGGCCACAGGGTAGATGGCGTGATGCAGGTGCGGGTGAGCAGGCCTGCGATGCAGAGGATAAGCCGTTCCGGTGCTCCGAGTGTGGCAAGGGGTTTGCCCAGAGCTCCAACCTGATCAAACACCAGCGGGTCCACACCGGGGAGCGGCCCTACCGCTGCCACCAGTGCGGCAAGGCCTTCACCTGGAGCTCATCGCTGCTGGAGCACCAGAAATCTCATGCTGGTGAAAAGCCCCACAGCTGTCCGGAGTGCGGGAAGAAGTTCAGCCGTGGCTCCACCCTGCTGGAGCACCAGCGCATCCACACCGGCGAGAAACCTTTCCGCTGCCACCAGTGCGGCGCCCGCTTCAGCCAGAGCTCCACACTGGTGCACCACCAGCGCACCCACACCGGGGAGCGGCCCTACCGCTGCGACGAGTGCGGGCGCAGCTTCGGCCGCAAGTCCACGCTGGTGACCCACCGCCGCACCCACACCGGCGAGAAGCCGTACCACTGCCTGGAGTGTGGACGCAGCTTCGTGGTCAGCTCGGACCTGGCCAAACACCAGCGCACCCACACCGGCGGCCAAGGCCCCTACCGCTGTGGGGAGTGCGGGGAGGGCTTTGGCTGGAGCGCTGCCCTGGCTGCCCATCGGGCCAGCCAGCACGGTGCCGAGAAGCCCTACCGATGCTCCGAGTGCGGGGAGGCTTTCCACCAAAGCGCCACGCTGCTGGTGCACCAGCGCACCCACGCCGGCGACGAGGCCTTCACCTGCTCCGACTGTGGGGAGTGCTTCCTGGAGAGCGCCAAGCTGGCCCGGCACCGGCGCATGCGGCACAGCGCCGACGGGGAGGAGAAGCCTTTCAAGTGCTCTGAGTGCGGCAAGGGCTATGCCCAGAGCGCCGGCCTGCGACACCACCAGCGAGAGCAACCCTTCCGCTGCCCGCAGTGCGGCCTGAGTTCCTGTGGAGCTGCCGGCTGGCTGAGCACCGCCGCAGTTGCCGCATGGCGGAGAAGCCCTACAAGTGCCCTGAGTGCGGCAAGAGTTTCGGCCAGAGCTCCAAGCTGCTGCGGCACCAGGTGACTCACACCGGCGAAAAGCCCTACAAGTGTCCGGAGTGCGGCAAGATCTTCAGCCAGAGCTCCAATCTGGCGGAGCACCGGCGCACGCACGCCGGCCAGAAGCTCCACCGCTGCGGCATCTGCGGCAAGAGCTTCGCCCTGGGCTCCTATCTGGCCAAGCACCAGATCACCCACACCGGGGAGCGGCCCTACCGCTGCACCGAGTGTGGCAAAGGCTTCCGGCAGAGCTCCAACTTGATCCAGCACCAGCGCACCCACACCGGCGAGCGCCCCTACACCTGCCCCCAGTGCGGCAAAAGCTTCTGCCAGAACTCCCACCTCATCAAACACCGGCGCACCCACACTGGTGAGCGCCCCTACCGCTGCCCCCAGTGCGGCAAGAGCTTCCGCCAGAGCGCCAACCTGCTGGAGCACCAGAACACCCACACCGGCGAGCGCCCCTACCAGTGCGGCCAGTGCGGCAAGAGCTTTTGCTGGAGCTCAGCCTTCAGCAAACACCAGAGGACGCATCTCAGCTAGGGGAGCTGTGCTGGGACCTACCTGAGCCGGGGGCCCTGTATTGGGACTCTGCAGGCCCACCTGAGCTGGGGTGCCCCCCATATGGGGATCACCAAGCCCCATCTCCAGTTATGGATAATCCCCAGGAGCCAGGGCAACACTGGGACCCCTCCCTGCTGCCCCCCTCTCCCCTCCGAGCTAGGGGACCCAATATAGAGACCACCAGGACACCCCATGGA